CAGCTGATTTTTTGTATTTTTAGTAGAGACGGGGTTTCACCGTGTTGACCAGGATGGTCTTGATCTCTTGACCTCGTGATCCACCCGCCTCGGCCTCCCAAAGTGCTGGGATTACATGCGTGAGCCACCGCGCCCGGCCTGGCTTATATTTTCTTAATTTTTTTGACAGTAATTGCATTTATAATGCTTTTATTAAGTGCCAACATTCTGATAGAGTAAGATGTGAGCAGATATTAATGGCTATTCCATATTCTTTGTATTTGTACAATTTTTCTCAAGTATAAATGCTTTCCTGTGCAATAAGATTTGGGCATTAACAGTATTGCCAAATACGTCACACTTAATTTTCTCCAGTATGAATTATCTTACGTACAACCAAGTGTGAAAATTATTTAAAGTCTTTGACACATTCTTCACATTGCTAGTATTTTTCACCAGTATGATTTTCTTTATATTTAGAAAAGTTTAAGGTGTTGTCAAAATCATTGTCACATCTTTCAGTTTTGTAGATTTTCTCTCCAATATGAATTTTTTTATGTTTAGCAAGGTTCGCAGATTGGTTAAAAGCTTTGTCACATCTCTCACATTTATAGGGCTTCTCCCCAGTATGAATTATCTTATGTTCGGTAAGTTTTGAGGATCGATTAAAAGCTTTGCCACATTCTTCACATTTGTAGGGTTTCTCTCCAGTATGAATTCTCTTATGTGTAGTAAGGGAGGAGGAGTGTTTAAAAGCTTTGCCACATTCTTCGCATTTATAGGGTATCTCTCCAGTATGAATTTTCTTATGTTCAGTAAGTTTTGAGGATTGGATAAAAGCTTTGCCACATTCCTCACATTTGTAGGGTTTCTTTCCAGTATGAAGTTTCTTATGTTCAGTAAGTTTTGAGGATCGGTTAAAAGCTTTGCCACATTCTTCACATTTGTAGGGTTTCTCACCAGTATGAATTCTTTTATGTGTTGTAAGGGCTGAAGAGTGTTTAAAAGCTTTGCCACATTCTTTACATTTGTAGGGTTTCTCTTCAGTATGAATTTTCTTATGTTCAGTAAGATTTGAGGATCGGTTAAAAGCTTTGCCACATTCCTCACATTTGTAGGGCTGCTCTCCAGTATGAATGTTTTTATGTTCAGTAAGTTTTGAGGATCGGTTAAAAGCTTTGCCACATTCTTCACATTTGTAGGGTTTCTCTCCTGTATGAATTCTCTTATGTGTAGTAAGAGTCGAGGATTGGGTAAAAGCTTTGCCACACTCTTCACATATGTAGGGTTGCTCTCCAGTATGAATTTTCTTATGTGTAGTAAGATTTGAGAACTGATTAAAGGCTTTGCCACATTCTTCACATTTGTAGGGTTTCTCTCCTGTATGAATTATCTTATGTGTAGTAAGGTGTGAGGACTGGTTAAAGGCTTTGCCACATTCTTCACATTTGTATGATTTTTCTCGGGTATAATTTTTTCTATATTCAGTAAGGTTTGAGAATTGTTTAAAAGCTTTGTCACATTCTTGACATTTGAAGAGTTTCTCACAAGTATAAATTCTCTTATGTGTAGTAAGCTTCGAAGATTGGTTAAAAGCTTTTTCACATTCTTCACAATTGTAGAAATTCACTCTGGTATAAATTCTTTTATGTTGAGTTAGGTGTGAAAGCATGCAGAATGATTTGCCACATTCTTTACATTTGAAATGTTTATTTTCCATATGTTTGATCTTATGTCTATCTGAATGTGAAAATTTATGAAAGACTTTCACATATTTATCACATGGAAATATCTTGCTCTGGGTAGTTGGTAAACACTGATTAAGTCCATTATAACCTCCTTTGTGCACCTTACACTCAACCGCACTTTTGCAGCTGTTTAATTGAAAATTCTCATTTCCACATTTTTCATATCTTCTCAGTGTCATGTTTTGAGAAGAATCTTTTATATTCTCCTCTGGCCAAAACTCTTGGGCAAAATGAGAACACATTACTGAAAGAAATAAAAATAACACATTAGTTTACAGACTCAGATAAACAGATTTTCCAAATACAACCTATAAAATTACACAAACTACACAAGCAAGATGGCACCGCAGGCTGTAATTAAGTGTGTGCATTGCCCCAGGTGGGTCCAATGCAAAGCACCACACAGAAAAAAAGAAATTCTGTCACATTTATCCAACACAGCTTTTTCTACTCCCCAACATAACATATTGTTTTTAGAAGTAAATTGCCAACTTTACTTCTTGCAATTATTTACTTGTGCAATGGCGCGATCTTGGCTTACTGCAACCTCCGCCTCCTGGGTTCAAGCAATTCTCCTGCGTCAGCCTCCCCAGTAGCTGGGACTACAGGTGCGCACCACCATGCCCAGCTAATTTTTGTATTTTTAGTAGAGATGGGGTTTCACCATGTTGACCAGGATGGTCTCGATCTCTTGACCTCGTGATCCACCCGTCTCGGCCTCCCAAAGTGCTGGGATTACAGGCTTGAGCCACTGCGCCTGGCCTGTTTTTTTTTTTTTTGAGACGGAGTTTCACTCATGTTACCCAGGCTGGAGTGCAATGGCGCGATCTCGGCTCACTGCAACCTCCGCCTCCTGGGTTCAGGCAATTCTCCTGCCTCAGCCTCCTGAGTAGCTGGGATTACAGGCACGCACCACCATGCCCAGCTAATTTTTTGTATTTTTAGTAGAGACGGGGTTTCACCATGTTGACCAGGATGGTCTCGATCTCTTGACCTCGTGATCCACCCGTCTCGGCCTCCCAAAGTGCTGGGATTACAGGCTTGAGCCACTGCGCCTGGCCTGTTTTTGTTTTTTAAATGAACCAGCTCTTACTTGAATTACCAGTGTACTTATTGATTAACAAGAGGATGGTGTCAAGCCATTCATTCATGAGGAATTTGCCCTCAAGACCTAAGCAACTCCCAGCAGATCCTACATTCACCTCCTACAAGGTCCCCAACCAACAATGATGATTACATTGCAGCATGAGGTTTAGAGAACATAGACATCCAAGCCATATCGCACACCAAATAGGCTTAACAGACCTGTACAAATGTTTTTAATCAAAAGTAAGAGAATACACAATATTTTTATTCGTACCTGGTGTATTCTGTTAGTACACATATCAAGTCTTACTAGATTTCAGAATACTGGCTGGGTGCAATGGCTGCTGCCTATTGCCTCAACACTTTGGAAGACCCAGGGGGATCACATGGGACCAGAAACTTGACACCAGCCTAGGCAACATAGCGAGACCCTGTCTCTTACAAATAACTGAAAAATCAGCCAGGCATGGCAGTGCACGTCTGTAGTGCCAGTTACTTGGGAGACTGAGGTGAAAGGATCACTTGAGCCCAGGAGGTTATGATTGCGGTGAGCCAAAGAATGCCACCTGAGGTCAGGAGTTCAAGACCAGCCTGACCAACATGGTGAAACCCCATCTTTATTAAAAAAAAAGAAAGAAAGAAAGAAAGAAATACAAACTTAAATAGATTTTAGATGGTAAAATTTATGTGGTTTTACAACATTTTGTTTTAAAGATAAATTTTAAAAATACAGAATTACAAATCTTTACATAAATTAACTTCAAATCACAGAAGTGTATCTCTCACACAAAAGAAATATATATTTATTATTAAACACAAGGTGAAAATAAGACTATCTATCTCCATGACTAATCACTTAAGATAAAACCATCATTGAAAATCAGCTAAGAGGCCGGGCGTGGTGGCTCACGCTTGTAATCCAAGCACTTTGGAGGCCAAGGCGGGCGGATCACCTGAGGTCGGGAGTTCAAGACCAGCCTGACCAACATGGTGAAACCCCGTCTTTAAAAAAAAAAAAATAAAATAAAATAAAATCAGCTAAGAAAGAATACATTCAAGATGAGCCATAATCAAAATTGGGGACATATTTATAGACAAACACATATATATAATCTGACTGGGATAAACATATGGCTTGCTTATCTCTTAATTAAACCCCACATTGACTTGAAGTATACAACATAATTTTGCAAATTGTCTAAAATGGTAAAACAACGACAATAAACAGATTTTTTTAAAAATTGTACTTTAGGTTCTGGGGTATACGTGTGGATGATTCAAGGTTGTTGCATAGGGACATACATGCCAATGTGGTTTTCTGCTTCCATCCCCTCATCACCCATACTATATCTGGCATTTCTCGCCATGTTATCCCTCCCGAACCTCCCCACCCCCTGCTGTCCCTCCCCTAGCCCCCGCCAGCAGACCCCAGTGTGTAGTGTTCCCCTCCCTGTGTCCATGTGTTCTCATTGTTCAACACCTGCCTATGAGTGAGAACATGCAGTGTTTGAATTTTCTGTTCTTGTGTTAGTTTGCTGAGAATGATGGTTTCCAGATTCATCCAAGTCCCTAACAAAGGACACAAACTCATCATTTTTTATGGCTGCATTGTGTTCCATGGTGTATATGTGCCACGTTTTCCTTGTCCAGTCTATCATCGATGGGCATTTGGGTTGGTTCCAGGTCTTTGCTATTGTAAACAGTGCCACTATGAACATACGTGTGCATGTGTCTTTATAACAGAATGATTTACAATCTTTTGGGTATATAGCCAGTAATGCGATTGCTGGGTCAAATGGAATATCTATTTGTAGGTCCTTGAGGAAGCGCCACACTGTCTCCCACAATGGTTGAACTAGTTTACTCTCCCACCAACAGTGTAAAAGTGTTCCTATTTCTCCACATCCTCTCCAGCATCAATAAACAGATTTTAAACTGAAAAAGCACACTAATGGGCCGGGCACGGTGGCTCACGCCTGTAATCCCAGCACTTTGGGAGGCCGAGGCGGGTGGATCACGAGGTCAAGAGATCGAGACTATCCTGGTCAGCATGGTGAAACCCCGTCTCTACGAAAAATACAAAAATTCAGCTGGGCATGGTAGCGCGTGCCTGTAATCCCAGTTACTCAGGAGGCTGAGGCAGGAGAATTGCCTGAACCCAGGAGGCGGAGGTTGCGGTGAGCCGAGATCACGCCATTGCACTCCAGCCTGG